GAGGGAAAGGCCCGGTCTGCACGGACCGGACCGCAGCCCGCTGCGACGCCGGCCTGGACCGGAGGTGCGCGGTGTCCTTCTAACCGGCGTTTCGCTCATTCTGGGTTTAAAATGTATTGTCATTTTCATCAGGGAATATCAAACCGATACTGAGAACTTCTGCAAGATTGTTTCTATTACAGGACAGAGTAAAAAAAACGACAGTAAATGTCCTGATAAATAAATAAGCACCCGTACTACCAAGTGCAACTAACATGGTTCTATTAAAAACTGTCTTTGACTATGGTGTAGAGGTACACTACTGGATTTGCTTTACAAGTGACAAATATAATAATCTGAAAATGCCAAAATTCATTTCCATGTTATTCTCGTGTGGGCGTGGATACCCTTTCTCAATTCAGTTTTATTTTACTGCTAGATGCATTCACTTTGATCGTCCCTTCCTAAAATGATTAAAGACCTGCAAAACTTTTATTGCATAGGACACTATTGGTAACACAGAGACTGGGAAATGCAACTTTGTAGTACTGGAACAAATCTTACAAATATTTCATCTTAAGAATTTGTTACATACATTTTTTTTTGTTTTTTACTGTTTGTCTCTTTTGAAAAAGTTGAACTAAGGGTTGATGAGCGCAGTGAGGTGTTTCGGGAATGCCAGAGATTAGAAAGTCAGATGAGTGCTATAAGGGGAAAAGGCCGTCATTCTCGCCAGCTATACACTGTATTGCTTGCAAAGCAACTGTACATGCCGCCATCAGTTCACAGTTAAATATTTTTACTAATCTGTTTTGGGAGAGCAAATGTCTTTCAAGGTTTCAAGTTCCTCTATCAGCTTCTTGTTCTGAACTTCCAGCACTGCAACTCGACTCTCCAGACATTTTACATATTCTTTCTTGCGACGTCGACATTCTTTAGCAGCTTCCCTAGAAAAAGTAGAAGCAAAAGGCAGACAAAACATGTGGTGCGTGCTACTGACAGACCAAAGCAAGCGTGGTAAAGTCACCTAGGCTGCATTCCAAGTCTTGGAACGGCATTTCCCAATTCAACCGCAAATGCTAAACCAAACCGGGCTCTTAGTCAAGGTCCCAAGTGTCCCCTGCACAAGTCCAAGTGGCAGTTAGAACTACAGCATCGCCTGCCTTGATTAGGGTTCAGAGTAAACAAGGTCCAAGGCAAAGACGGTTACTCTGCTTTATGGCAATAAAGGTCTTTCAGGGCCTTGAGTTCCTCAATGAGAGTCTTGTTTTGGTTTTCAAGCACGGCCACGCGATTTTCAAGACATTTCACATATTCTTTCTTCTTCCTGCGACACTCCCGAGCAGCCTCCCTGGAAGCAACACAGGCAGGTGACCACAGGGACAGCCTCCCAGCACAGCCACTGCGGCTCAGCACATCCCTGCTCCCCAAAACCCACAGCCAACCAAACCTAGGGAGGGTCGTACAAAGCCACACAACAAACGGAGCCAACGGGACAGCAGGAGCGACGTGAGAGCACACCCACTTCGCACAAGTGGTGTTTTCTTCAGTAACACCCGGAGGAAAAGGGCCAGACCAGGCAGAGGGAGCTGGGGCACTGGGCCACGTCCTCCAGTGGGATTTCTACAAACACGTCCCCTAGATCCTTCCGGTCTTAATTCTCTTTTGTTCGCCAAAAGCCACACGTAACTCATCATTTTTTGCCAGGACGATTGTAAGAACTAAATCCTCAGAAACCTTAAAATGTCAATATTGAAGATTTTTTTCCTTCAAGACTAAATCACAGCAAAACAAGGTCAATCACAATGGTGAGAAATAGGTTCGGGGGGCTAGAAAACACAACATGGATAAATTATAATGATAAACACAATGTACTTTTTATAAACCAAAATAAAATGGACATTGCTTCTGAAAATTAAAGCTGGAGTTACAGTTACATAATACAACACTCACTAATACAGATGATTGAAACCCACAAATGCGAGAATGTCACAATTAAAATTGCAAAGAAGGAAGCGACTGAGTCATTCAAAAGTGCACTTCAAGACTGTTCAGTAACCCCATGCATGTGCCATGCTATGCAGTGGGTGTTTAAGCACTGTAAACACGTCCAAAGGAACGGACAGACCAGAAGCCAAGCAACACACACAAAGAGCCAACTTAGTCATTTTCATGCACTGTTCTACGAAAAAACATTTCTCTTTCTCCTTTCTTGTTTTTTGAGACAGGGTCTCACTATGTAGTTAAGACTGACCTGGAACTCACCATGCAGCCCAGGCTGGCCTTGAACTCCTAGTGATCCTCCTGCCTCAGCCTCCCGAGTGCTGGGATTACAGGCATGAGCCACCATCCCAGGCTGTCCTTTTTTATTTTTTTAAAGGTGGGATGGGAGAGCAACTATCTTACTTGTATTCCCTGATAACAGCTTTATTTTGGAGCACTCAATTCCAGAACTCCAGAATAATGGCTGGGTAATATCACTTAGGTACATTTTAAAATAGTGATGTTGGACTTCTAACTGCCAGTTAATATTGTTGGAACCACATATAACATGCACAAGACCTGGCCAATTGTTTTAATTTTAGGACAGGTGACTCTTACTCACTGGATATCTGTTTTCTCAATGGGAAGCAAAAGTCAGCACAAAAAGAAATCTTGAAATCCCAGTGAACTGCAGGAAAAGAACAATACGACCCCTACTTCCTAGCCAAGGGCAATGCACTCACCCCGTGAACTCACAAAGTTCTGGACTCCTCCAGAAGTGACAAAAACTAAAAAACGTAACGTGACTTGAACCTAACAGAACAGTGACAGAGCTACATGATGCACAGAAAAAAGCTAAGCAATGAACCCAAACACACACATTTTCCTGTTTGGGAATATAATGCAACTCTCTTCCACAAAGAAACTAAAATTTGGGCACAAATACCGAAGTCTTCATGATTAAATCCTTAAACTCTAGCCCTAAGAAGGAGGCAGTCGTTCTACAAAACAAGTTACTGTTGAATGAAATTTTAAAAGTCTAACCATGGAATTGTGGGATGTAATTTTAAATTTTTGTAGATACCCACGCTTCGTATTTTACATTCAGGGGCAGATGTGCCACTCAGGGTCAAAATGCTCCCAGCCCAAGGCTTTAATTGGTGACCCCATTGTCAATGGCAGGCCACTGTCAGCTGTGGAGGGCACCTGCTTCTTCCGTTAATAGCTCAGTTTCCAGGCCACGCACTTGACCGCACCTACACTCTGCAAGGACAAGGGGCCACTAGCCAGGAGAAAAGCTGATCAGGTTAGAAGAAGTAAAACTGTTATTGTCTTGGGAGAAATACAATTAAGGATTTAGCAGAGCTGCTGTCCAAAGAATAAAGAGCACATGGAAGGGTCTTCCACGTCGATTACAAGGCCTAACCACAGGCTTTTCCCTGAAGTCACACCTGAAGCTTACAATGAGGCCCCGCGGCGGCGACGCTAGTGTTGCATAGCCTGGTTCTGTCCAGTTTGGGCTGCATGGCGTTGGCCAACTTACTGTTCAACCCCTCTGGACGTCAGCTCTCCCTCTGTAAACTAGGAACAACATCCAGAACTGTTCTCGTGGGAAAGTTACGTGAGCTAAAGGAGCAGTAGAAAAAAAACTCGATAAACAGATATGGAGCAACCTGATAGCTGGTTAACAGCTGCATTTCTCTTGTGTCGCTCCGAGAATAAGATTTGGAAAGTTAAAACAGACCCTTCTCAGAATCCTGTGCTGTCAATGAAACGTGGGTTAAATTACGGGGGCGGGGGGAGGAAGTCTTCTAGGAAAGGTCTGCAAAAGAGATAGATCCATCCAGCCACAAATTGGCTCTTGCCTTTCTCCCTTCTGCTTGCCTGATGCAATGTCAGGAGCAACAGCAGCCAGGCTGTGAGTAGAAGGACAAATGGTCCATGCTGAGGACGACAACCCAGGGAGGACAGCCTGGGCCTGACCCTGCATCCCAGACACACATACTGTACCTCCATGCTGCTAGGAAAGGGCAAAGACTACCTGCGAATGTAAGCCTCCACTGCGTTGGTTAGCCCCACACAAACGTTAGTAGGCGCTGTTCACAAGATACTTTTCAATACTAAATATTTCCCCCTAGGGAGCTCTTGTGTATGTCGACATGCCTGTATGGCATGTTTCTAGGAACAAATCATCTAATGTTATATCGAATTTACATTGGTGTTGCTACCCTAAGATTTCTGAAATTTAAAATTAGGGGAGAAAATAATGGGAAAAGTAGAAATAAGACTGCTTCCCTTTTAAATTTTCTTTGGGTAAAATATGACACCAATGAAAAATTTTACAGTTGGCATTATTGGCAGGCTTTATATTTCTAAACTGAACTTCATAAAATACATAATACCAGAGAGGCAGTTATATCATAGCTCTTGAAATCTCACCTCTCCATCATGTCTGTCTGTCTGTCTGTCTGTCTGACCTCCCTCTGTGCTGGGGACTGACGCCAAGGCCTTGTGCATGCTAGGCAAGCACCCTGCCAGTAAGCTATACCCCCAGCCCAGAAAGTACAATTTTAAAGGATCAATAATCCTCCATCAGATCCAAGTTAGGATCTCTGATAGTAAGACTGCCATGAAAACCACCACACTGTGTGAACCCCTTCGATCCGGGCCCTTGGGGATTTGTGAACAGAACAGAGTACGAGCCCAGCCTGTCTCCGCACACCTGGGACCAGCCCTCATGAAAGATGTGTGTCTTTCTGGTCCTATTTCTAGTTATTTGTTGAGTTTTCCAGCATTCAAAATGCCTTTTAACACTCAGTGAAACTAGTAAGATTGGAAACGATAGCCAGTTTGAGGATTCTCATGTCAAACTGCATCACTTCCAAGGTGACTGAAAAGCCCAATACAACTACTTAGGGTCCTTGCTGTTATGGAGGACAGCGCTGAACTCAGACTGAATGTCAGGGGCTTGGAGGCTGGGATTTATAGACTACCTGGGTTGGCTCATAAATTAATCACCACCAAGTGGCCTATCACGGGCAAGCGGATGATCCCATCTGAAATGTTTTGTTTTCTTACAGTGGGGACATTGTGTACAATTTAGGAATAGGTGACAAGACTACCAGGAAACTCTCAGACAATTCTGTTCACTCTGCAAATCAAATGAATTCGTACTGTCCTCCGCAAGAACCCAGAAAAATAACGCATGAATTTAATAAAGGTTTACATTTAAAAATTTTTTTTGGAAAATAGCATTTTATAATATACCAATGCTCAAAAACTAAAATCACAGCTGGGCATTGTGGTGCATGCCTATAATTTCAGATATTCGGGAGGGTGAGGCAGAAGGATCAGGAGTTTGAGCCTATCCTGGACAATATAGCATGACCCTCACTTCAAAATTAACCAATCAAAATTAGAGAGGGCTGGAAAAAGAATAAGTGAGAAAAAAATGAGAGCAGACTGAAGGTGAATACAATGCACTATCAGGCATATAACACAGTATTAGCAGGTATCTCTAAGCAGAGAAGCCCCTTTCTTTTGTTACTTTGCTATTGCATCTTAACCAGAATTTTTGTAGGATAATGTGTATTTCATTGTAATAGTGACAAAAACAAAGTAATGCTCTGATGCTTAAATTTCTTTTGCTAAAACTAAAACATTGTACTTGTCACGCTACTATTTCACAAAGTAAATACCACATACAAAATTCATCTTCATTTGTAACAAAGTCTTTTCATCACTGTTTCAAAAAATGAATGTGTCTTCTGAACTCGGGGGCAGGGGGCGGGCTGTGGCCCTGCTGGTGGACTGTTCCACGCCCCAGAATGCTCCCTGAAGAGCCCTGATCACCTTCACACGCACAGAGCAGGCAAACTCACACACAATGCCACATTAGCACTTAACTTAGGAGAAAGAGCTTGGGAAAAGCACACATTTTTCAAAGCCCCAAAGTAAGAAACCACAAGCCCCCTGAAGCAGTTCCTGAGTGCTAGTGAACACCGCACCTGTTTTTCATCAGTCTCAGCTCTCGTTTGCGAGTGGCTTCTTCTGCCAGCTGCTGGGGACTGTGCAAGCTTCCCGGTGAGGCAGCCATCACCATGCCCTGGGGCAAAGCAGCAGCAGGAGCCCTGATCTGGTAAGCTGGCATGTCACCTGTGGCCGCTGCAATGACACAGAATGCAAGCTTACACACAGCTCAGGAGTTGAAATTTCACATACAATTATCCCGGAAGTAACATAGCTTTTACATGTCAGTAGAGGTGACCTCGAATGTGGATGATTATTCTGAGCATGATAGGATTCTTAAGTATCAAATGTTCTCTGGCATTTGGAACAATGATAGGACCATGTCAGTATGCTCTCCACATTTAAGGTAGAAAACTGTCCAAATGCTTTTTGGATAGATTTTTATCAGCGGCTAAAGCAGACAGGCTGGCAAATATTTAAGAAATGGCTCTGGGTAGGGTGGAGGAACCCTGATCTGTTTGATGATTCCCGCAGTAGAAATGCTTCTACGGTGGCTAGTTTCAGGATGCCTGAGTGACTTCACTGAACATAAGAGTTGGAAAGAGAAAGGCCAGCAAGCCGTACTCCAGACAGACAACAGAGATGAAAGGAGGTTCAAGAGCACAGATAAAATCAATAGCAAAGATGGGTTCTGAGTAAGTGATTTCAATGTGTGAGTCTATACGTGTATATATGAATATACATACATATTTAACTTTTCATAATGACTCACAAAAGGAGTGGGAGTTTAGCCACTGACTCCAGCAAGCCAGCGAGAGCCAGCAGCCCTGCAAACCTTCCTACCTTCCACAAGCCCTCCTACCCAAAATGACCGAGCAAAGGAAGGAATCTCGCTTCCCGCGGTTTCAGTCAAAGCCTCGATGATAACAAAAACCCCAGCAAAGCTCTTTGTAAAACTGGCTTCTCTGGAGATAGGTCATTTTTGTCTTTCTTTTGGGAAAATAATACACTTGTCAGTATCTTTATTTTTCAAGGAGGAAAAGTTTGACTCCTGGCCTTAGTATTTATTTTTTAAAAATATTTTCTAAACTTAGTATAATCATACACCTATGAGACAGATTTAATATTGACTTAGTATTCAGATTGAATACTAAAAGTAAATTCATAATTCCCTAATTTACATTCAGAATTTGTCTATCAACTACAGTGAACACTGCTTCCCACAGAAGGAAGACACGTATGTTTGAATGTTTCCATCATTAATGCTTTCCAACTTTGACACTGTGTGGTCCAGATAAGTTTGATATTCTGATAAAATATTGTGAAGTATCACTTCAAAGCTACATGCAAGAAAAATGGTTTAAATTCTATAAAATTTAAATTCTATGAAAATTGATCACAGTCAGATGCCAGTCAAGAGGGAACGCAGCACTGTCGTGTTTTTAAAATGTATTACATACATTGAGTATGAAAAAAATTCCAAAAATAGGAGATGAGGCTTTTGAGTATAAATTTGTTGTACATTATCCCTGAAAGCAGCCAAGTTGTTACTGTTACTGTTTTTTTTTTTTTTTTTTTTTTTTT